GTGTGTGTGTGTGTGTGTGTGTGTGTGTGTTTGTCTGCGGCTGGACAAATAACATTAGTGTAGCATTAATGGAGACTCACAGAGACCAGAACAAGTGTGTGTGTTCAGGAGGAGAACTGCTCATTCCACCAGCGTGAGATCACACACACACACACACACACACACACACACACACACACACACACACACACACACACACACACACACACACATTACATTACATTAAACATACACTTGCATGCACGAGCACGCACACACATACAGTACACATACAAACTCACACGTAGAGCACGCAAGCACACGCACACACGCACACACACACACACACACACACACACACACACACACACACACACACGTGCAGGTTTTGCCTGATTAAAGTCTATTCACACATCAGTAGCTGAATGGACCTGCTGGTTTTATTAGTGGTAAATCTGCTGAGAGCTGCTGCAGCACAGATATTAATCCCTCTCTGATCTCTCCGTCCTCACAGGAATGATTGTGGTTCAGGATTTCACACGTAAAGTCAATATAAACATCAGAACAACAAGATAAAAGTCCTCGAAACAGCCGTTGTTAAATGTGGAGGAGAAGGATATTAAGATGAGCGTTCAGCGGCAGAATATTTCAGACAGTTATGAAAGAATCAAGTCATTTCCTGACCAAAACTCCAACGAGATGCAGAACATGAACACACACAGAGCAGATAAAAGTCCCTCCCTCAGTGCAATGCATGCTGGGACAGAAGACACATTTACTGAATAATAAGCACTGAGAATCCAGAAAGAGTCACATGACCATCTTAACACTCTGTTATTGGTCATATTCATGCATTCATATTCATACAGTGACTGATCATGTGACCATCGTCAACATCACAAGATAAAAGTCTCACCAGAACGAAGTAAAAATAGAAAACAATGCAGTTCATTTTCATTTAAACAGTGTAAATTATTCAATTTAACGTGAAGAAAATGACTAAATAAAACCTGTTCAGACTTTTGAGGAGGCCAGAAGAAAATCATCTGTTCTGTGCTGCTATTGCACATGCAGAAACTCCCTGAAAACAAAGAAAATAAAGGATTATTCTTCATCAAGAGTATGAAAACAATATTTTATTGCATTTTGTAAATTATTAAGCATTTCTTGACTTACGCTATTTTATCAAGCATTTTCACAGTAAAGTCTCAAAACTGAAATACAACATAAATGAACATATATATACATATACATATACAGCTGAAGTCAGAATTATTCACCCCCTTTGATTTTTCTTTTCTGTTTTAAATATTTCCCACATGATGTTGAACAGATTGAGGAAATGTTCACAGTGTGTCTGATAATATCTGTTCTTCTGGAGAAAGTCTGATTTGTTTTATTTCGGCAAGAATAAAAGCAGTTCTTAATTGTTTAAACGCCATTTTAAGGTCAATATTATTAGCCTCTTTAAGATATATTTGTTCTTGATAGTCAACAGAACAAACCATCATTATACAATAACTTGCCTAATTACCCTAATTACCCTAGTGAAGCCTTTACATGTCACTTTAAGCTGTATAGAAGTGTCTGTCATCATGATGAAGAGGAAATAAATCAGTTATTAGAGATGAGTTATTAACACTATTATGATTAGAAATGTGTTGGAGAAATCTGCTCTCCGTTACACAGAAATTGGGGGGAAAATTAAACGGGGGCGAATAATTCTGACTTCAACTGTACTTATACAGGGTTTGACATTAACAGCCGCCAAACGCGGGTAGATTTCATCTGTGCATGGCGGGTTAGAACGCAACCTCATATTATTTAAATGGTAGTTTTCTTACTCATTTCTTTCCCATTATTCGTGCAAATGCAATCTTAGAATCGAGAAGCAGCACAACTCACGAAACGAATTGTGTACCGAAGGAGAGGATGACCCACATCGCAGCTGATGTGATGCGCACGACTGTTTAAAACACCTGCGCTCCAGTTTCCTTGCGTGAAGCAACCATGACTATAAACGCAAGTCGTGTTATCGGCCCTGTTTCAAATAGACTAGACAAACAGTGATGCTCGTGCACCCGCAGTCCTGCTGCTTTCAGGAGCTCCAGATGAGTCTTTTGTAAACAGCGCTGGTTGCTTTCGCTTAAACCAATCTTTAAACAGATTATTAACTGGCCTAGAGTTAACCTTGTGTGTCATTATCACACTTTTTTATTGTATTTTCTATAATAACATTGCTTTAATGCCAGAATTACTATTACTATTTATGTGTAGTTAACTGCTGATCTGGGACCTTTAGCCAGGACAGATTACTGTGCACAGTTTTAGATACATGACAATATTTACTTTTTTAAACGTCATTTGTTGTTGTTGTTGTTGTTGTTTGTTTTTTTTAATGTTTTGTGAAATAAGAAGTATAGTATACAGCTGTATTTTACTTATTTTGGCAAATTTAAAATTTGTGGACAAGAAATAACTATTTATTTATGTTTGTTGTGGTCAGAGAAACATTTGGTAAAACCTTAACCCTAACCCTATTCCTGTACAATAAAACCTCATTGTAATAGAACACTATGAATCCATGACCCGTTAGCTCATGCACATTGAGCAAACTTATACACGACACACGAAAAGTGCAATGAATGAGGACGAATGTGGACATAACACAAAATCTAAATCAAGTCATTTTAGCATGTCAAAGTCAAATTTATTGACAGAAATTATATTTTCCCAACAACAAAACTGTGGCTAGTGAAAATAGTGAGTGGCCAGTAATGCTGGAAAACTGCAAGCCACAGTGTCTGCTGATCACAAAGATAATGTCAAGCCCTGAATATATAATATACATACACACAACAGTTCTCAACGGATGAATCTGATTGGCTGATAGCCGTGTGATATTCTGCGAATAACAGCACTCGTTCCGCCTCTTCACCCTTGTGTATTACTCCGCCCACATACAGCAGCAAGCTGAGGACACTCTACAGTGTGACTAATAATGCAGCTGTCGGACAACATCATGTACATTTGAGGCTTCTCAGGTGTGAATGTAGTTGTTTAGATTGCAGCTATGCAGTTTATTTATAAGACTTCTGCCTATTTTAAATATTTATCATTTCACAGTGTTGGATTCAGTCCCTTGCTTTGGCAGGATTTGTGTGTGTGTGCTGTGTTTTTTGTAATTGCATGTGTTGATAACACTTTATTATGATGGTCATTAGAGTATCAGTAGACTGTCTGCTTAATATCTGCTGATTCTGCTCCTTCAACAGTCATTTCACTGACTAGAAGACACTTTACAGGTACATGTCAACTTACACTAATCCCAACCCTAACAGTCTACTGATAATCTAAGGAGAATTAGTTGGAGTGTAGATGCAGTGTCATTTAATTCAACATACGGACCCTCAAAATAAAGTGTGACTGTTATCTGAAACTGCAGTGCATTAAGCTCTCCGGGCCACTGTACATTTGAATAAAATCACACACACACACACACACACACACACACACACACACACACACACACACACACACACACACACACTCACTGTGGTCAGGTGTGTGTGGCGGGCGGCTCCTCCAGGATGTAAGCTTCAGGAGTGTCCAGCAGGGGGCTCTGGTCCAGAGTCTGCAGAAGAAGAGCCACTTCAGACTCCAGCAGATCCACAGCCTGATCCACACGCTGCAGGAACACACACACGCAAAGACAGAGACACACACAGACACACAAACACACACAGACAAAAATGATAACAATGATTAGGAGCCACTTCAGTCAGTTTGTCAAGAGTAATGAACAGTCAGAGTACATCAACATTCCTGGTTTAGTTTGAACTACTGCACATGACACTGTGTGTGTGTGTGTGTGTGTGTGTGTGTGTGTGTGTGTGTGTGTGTGTGTGTGTGTGTTGAATATAAAGAAGACAGATACATCACCTTCTCCACACTGTCCATTCGCGCTTCAAGAGCCTTCTGCTGCAGACAATCTAAAATACACACACACACACACGAACACCACATACACACACAGACACAAACGTGAACACAAACATAAAGCATACACTTCAACCATCAGCTGCTCATATGACATATTTTATGTAAACAAAATATAAATATGAACGTGTGTGTTTTAGGTCATTTGCATATTTTGCCATACATCAGGATTGTCTCTGAGTGTTTTGAGGAACTGAACATAAACTCAGTCACTGATTCAAAGAGTCACCGATTCACTGATTCATTAGGTCAGTAGGTGCGTTCGACGTCATGCAAAAGTGTCTTGAAGTGCTGCATGCCGTTTATAAATGTCGTCTGGACTGACGCTGCACTGACGGCATGTGACTGTCACATGTGGCATCAAAGTACCGAGATCAGACGACTGATTCAGCCGGTGCAGCATCTGAAGAGCGACTGCTGGAGCTGCATGACGACACCGATATTACACGATTAGCCGAGTTCACCGCATGACAACAAATGATGTGTGTTTTAGGTTTATTATTGGACAGATTCCGTCTCACAAACTTCAAAACAAACTTTTCACTTTTCACACCCTCTCTATCCTGCACACATCATGCTTATTAGAAGATCCACATATTTACTGCAGCATCCTCTTTTGTTCAATAATCTGGTCATGATGACTAGACTGTTTGCACAGGTTTATTCTGCCTTTTTTATTCAGACTATTAACTGTATTCAATTTCCATTAAATATTTTAGTGAATAACCTGAATATGAACTCAAATAAGTCTTACAGGCTTATAATAAAATAATCGTCATCACTGACACCCTAAAGCTTTCTTAACAGAATAAGTTGAACTGTTTTATTAAATGATTAGAAAATGATTTATATGATTATAAAATATACATGTTCTTGCTGTCAGGCCGTTTATGCACACGTTTTTAAAGTGGCATTGATGTACCTGCTCTTTCTGGGGAACGTCTACTGAAAGTGTAGCTCACTTATTTCATCTTTTTGGATTGAAGTGCTTTTCTGAAAATGTTTTCATGATCCAAAATAAT